AATTATGATTATTATGAAAATTGAATATACCATCCCTGGTAAAACTAGCTTACTAGAGTTTGCTCTGTTTATAAAATTCATTATATCTTGTAAACGAAGACGGATGGGACATATATTTATATGACGTTTCTCCATTATTTTTAGGCGTGCGATCAGCTCTCGAAGTGGGTCCCACAAGTTACGAAAACACCCTGTATATATACGTATAATATAAGGGAAGAGAAACGAGGAAAGGTAGGGCAGAATAAAAAAACCGCGAGGACGAGTGCACCTTCGCCGGTCCGTCAATTGTTTTTTGAAAGTAACATACTCGCTGTACTTTGTAACTAAACGACGGTTTAAATAATTAACATTGGACGCGCGCGGCCGCGCTCGTCGCGTTAGACTTACTCGAGGATAAAGTATAATATAATATAATTGAGAAGATGAAGAGAAGGAAGGAAAGGAAACGACGCTTATTGTATCTGTATAATACAGCGTGCACGTACGTAGTGATAATCCATTTTTCTCCATCTTTCGAACGAAAACGAAATCACCGCAGATAAACACACGGTACACGTTATAGCCTTGTAATTTACTGGCGGGACGATGACGTTTCCGAGACGTTTTTTGTACCTTAGGATTTTAGATTCCATTCGCTGAATTATTCGCTGCGTTAAAAGGAAAGAAACTGATCAAAACTGTCGAAAGAAGAAGAAGAAGATCGTTTCGGCTCGGGCACAAAAGGAGAGAGGCGCGACTGGCACGTATTGCCCTCGCGACTCGAGGTATCGTACCGAGAATCGATCGAGCGATTCGTTCGTCGAAGCAAATGGAAGAGAGAAAGAGAGAGAGAGGGAGAGAGAGAGAGATCGATTTGCTCGCTCGAACGAACAACGCGCGATCGTTAGCCCGAGACGAAACATGTTTTTAACCCTTTGCCCTCGAAAACTTTTTCCCCCATGTACCAACAATTTATTTACATTGAAGCGTCGCATCGAATAAAATGACGTAGCATTGGTAATAATCATTCAAATGGTATTCAACGCGAGATTTCGTTGATTTTTACTAACACGTTGAGATCGTTTAAATCTAAAGCAGTCATCAGCGCGTGCATTGCGAGTTTGCTGGAACAAATATAATGTATGCAAAAGTATAATGATATATACAATTTCAACTCTTTGCACTCCTTTGTCGAGTGTGATCTCGACGTCAGAAACTCTCACGTCAAGTCACGCTCGATATTTTTAAATTGATTAAAAGCTATCGTTTCGAGTGCAAAGGGGCTGATCTCTGGAAGAATTTAACATCCTCCGCTATTTCTCAAACTTTTGTAAGAAGCCACACGTGAATTATTTTTCAACGAATGTCGATTGAAATTTGTGAAATTCTTTCTGTTCTTCTTACGTCCTAGCTTATAGCTTTCACTCTCTGTTCAGATATTATACTATTGTGTATCGCATCGTGCAACCAGATATACACGTTTGTTATAGTTTATCAGCAAATTAAGTAAAAAAAAGTTCGAAAACTTCTTGGTTAGATTTAAGCACCGTGTCCCCTAAGAAGGGACAGTCGAGTGCAAAGGGTTAACAGGATTCGCGGGAATTGACAACAACACCCTAACGCTTGTTGACGATTTTCCAGAGTTCACGCACGCTGTGTCGTCGTTGTTCCACGTTCTGTACCGAGTTCTCGCCGATGTATCGCTGGTGTACTGCCTGTTATCGTGCCTAAGCACAACATCCAAGATCGTTTTCAAGTTGATTAGAAACCGACGACGTCCCCTTCCCCCCTCGCTGCGCGAAATTGCGAATCGCGAAAGGAACGATCGCCGATCTCGGAAGCCACGTCGCAGATATCTCACGCCCTCGATCCTGGTAAATAAGATTCTCCGCGCCGAGAAGATTCGCGTTCGACGCTCGTAATTGTAGCCTCCAGTAATTCCCACGAACATTTTTTACACTGTAAAAATTGAAGTTGTAGCTCAGATATGTCTGACCGAGCGGTATTTCAAATTACTGCGTTTTGGAAAATTCTAGCTGTCTGCGCCAAAAAGCCAGCTAAATTGATGGTGGATTTTTGCAAAAGAACAGGACCAAGTACATTCCAGTCGTATATATTTCGAAATAGCTCGACAACAGACGTATCGAAGTTAATCCTTTTATTCGAGAGAACCTTGAGATTCGAGAAAATCCTCTTAACTGCTTGCACTGTAATTTAATGTGCGATGCGCCACGGTCAAAAAATCGTTCATGCTCCGACATACGGAACTATAGCGTGACACTAATGACACTACGTTTATTATTATTAAAATTTATAAAATTTGATTAATGTCCATAAATATATGTATATATATATATATACATTTTTTTGCACGTACAGACATTATAATTGAACGTATCACAACAAAAAGAAAATTGTAGCTTCTGAGATATATAAAAACATTCGCCACGAGTTACAATGCAAGGTTAAGCGATAAAACCAAAAATAACGAAATCACAATCTAAACGCTGGAAACTATGAAAAGTTGCAAATATAAATCTGCCCTCGTTGTAAAAGAAAGTTGAAGGATAATTTAGGATAGAGGGAATCCGGGCTACACACGAATCGCAAGGGAAACCCATATTTGCATATTTGAACGTCGTCGCGATTATTTTCACCTCGAGTCCAGGCAGATCGACAAGAACGAGGAAGGTTCACTTCCCTTCGATTCGTTCGCTCTCGCGCGATAGTCTCGCGGCCGCCAGGAGAGGACGGTGCCAAAGAATTAAACGCGCGTAGACTTATTTATCGTTTCGTTAATAGATTGTAAGATCGTGATTCTGTTCGAACGAGCGAAACGAGTAACGATCCCCTTGACCAATCGGGTCCAATATACTTGTACAAATCGTCCTCCTCCCTTCTCCTAGATCCGAAACAGCGAAGCACGTCAATTTTCGCGCGCCCCCCTTCGCAACTGTTTAACGCTCTCGTAAGTCGCGCAAAGTACTTAAACGTCGTGGTGCGATCGTGACTGGTGGAAACGTCACGACGAAAGTCGAACGTGAATGGAAGAATGACTTTGGCGAGAAAACGAGCTCTCTACGCCTGCGTAGAATAGAAGAGAACGAAAGAATGTAGTAGGAATCCATCTGGTTCATCCAGCCGAGATAGATCTCCTCGACATTGGAACGAATTCGCGGGGCTAGGTTGGCTAGGTTTGTTTCGTTGAGAATTCCCAGAGTCTAACGGGGAGCCGCTAGCTAGAAGCTTGATAGAACGTTCAGAATTTCCGGCCTCGAGGAGCCGAAACCGAAGAAATACGGAGACGAAATCGAGGGCGATGAAAACGACAGACAGCTCGACAGACGCGTTTTTTTCGAATCGTTTCCGTTTGTACCGGCGTTCGAGTTGTTATTCGTCCTGCGTGACTCGTCCCGGCCATCTTCTCTCTGTCTTCTCGCTCTCTCCTTCATTTCCTCTCCGCATGTATTTTCTTCTCTCTCAGCGTGTACGAGCGCGCACGAGTTGAAACCGCGGAGGATAATAAAAATCGGCGCACGATCGCACTCCTTGCTCTTTCTCTCTCTCTCTCTCTCTCTCTCTCTTTTTCCTTCTCTGACTGTTTCTCTTCTTCCTTTCTTTTTCTCTCTCTCTCTCTCTCTCTCTCTCATACACATATGTATACACGCACGCTCTTTCCGCGCTGAAAGGGAAAGAGAACATTCGAGAGGATTAACGCGTTGATTTATCGCTGTAAGATAAGAAAGGGGACGCGTTCGTCGCGACTGGCGCGCTGGCAGGAAGTTGGCAGGACGACGAGAAAACCAAAGGAGAGAAATAAAGTGCACGCACGGAGCGTATGCGTGAGTATGTGTGTGCATGTGTATGTGTATGTGTGTGTGTATGGTGTGTGGAGGCCACATCTGCAAGGGAAAAAACTCTCTGATCGATCGTCGCGTCGAGCGCGCATTTTTCTTTTCTTTTTTCTTTTTCTTTTTTTTTTTTTTTTTTCCTTAGGGAAAAGGGAAAGGGGAAACGGAAAGAAGTAAGCATTGTAATATTTGTATATAGCCATGTTACCGTGGTAAAGAAAATTACCTTATATTATTATAAATATTACGCATATATACATATACACATATACGTGTACATATATGTTTATATATATACATACATACATAGATGATGCGCGCGCGCGCGTGTGTATGTATGTACGTATATGCATATTTAAGTCTGTAATGCCGTTACGTTGTTGTACCATATTATTGTGAACACCATTTCTCAGACATCGATTTTTTTAAAATAAAACGAAAGTCTCTATCGACATACGCACTAACGAGTACTACCAAGAGGCAGAGTATATCCGTCGACATAACGAAGGAACAAAATCACCGACGAGCAACAAATAAACAAATCCAAATCGGTTTCTCATTTCCAAGTGACAGTTAACGATCGATCGGCCGCGGCTTTCTCGCCCCGTCTCCTCTGCAACTCGTCTCTGGCCCTTCCGTTCCGCCATTTTGTTGTCGCGTCACGTCGACTTTCCGGCGATCGCTCGCAAAACGCACCTGGGAAGAAACGTCAATTTCAAATAGCTCGCGGTTTATCGATTCCCCCACCGCCGGCTTTTCGACGACAACGAGACGGAATCGATGGAAGGGCCGGACGATTTTTGTAACATTTCGCAAACGTGAAATTTCGTCAGGCTCGACGTTTTGTCTTTCAGTCGATCGAACAGCGCGAGGTCAGTCTGCGGAGATCAAGAGACGCCCGGGCGTCGCGTTGAAATTCGCTGGCGAACGAATCGAGTTTTTAACGACAGACAGATTGTCCATTAACTCTTTAACAGCACGATTAACGATCGAGAGAAATTATATTCGATAAAATAAGTATAGATTTCAAGGACCAACGTTCTCACCACTTTCTCTCTCTCTCTCTCTTTGAAACACTGTTCATCGACGCTTGGTTGGTTGCCAAATTACTTTCCAAAAAATCGCTCTCACTTTGACACCCGAGTATATAGTGTCACGTGCAAAGAGTTAATGGAATTTCGAGCCTACTTTTTTAAACGATTCGCAGAACGATGCGACACACTATTTTCTCTCCGTGATGTTGAAGAAAGAAGCGAAACGGAACTCGTTCGCGCGAATTTGATCGCGATCCGATCTCGATCAAGAGACCCCGGACACGCGCGCGCGACCTTTCGACTCGATGGAGGAACTCTGCGAAAGTCGCCAAGACACGGCGGACGTCGGCGCGATGCACGTAACGAAAACGAGAACGAAAACGGAGAAAAGAAAAAAAAAAATTAAAAAAAAGAAAAAAACAGAAACGAGAAAAACGAGAAAAAAAAAAAAAAAAAAAAGAACACGTTCAAACATTTCTCACACGACACCGTGGTCCTTTCTGCCCGTCGATGTGTAAATAATTGTTTCATATTGTTGTAAAGTAGAACGACGATTGAGGAGAGATGGATGGTACAATTTGGTCGGAGACGTCGGCACTCGATTGCCGAGAGTTTCAAAGTCAAAGTCTCCCCCCGTAATGTAAGCGCACAAAAAAAGAAGGTTAACGATCTATGTGTCTTCTTCGTGTTTAATCGTATCTTTGTTATTAAATCTTGAACGTCTTACGAATGGCTGTCTCTGATACTTTGCCTGGGCAAAAACCTCTTTCTTTCCCTCTAGTGGCGTCGCCATCATCGAACCGTACGGATCATCCAGGTAATTAACGTTCCTGACGTGCAAATTTCAAAAGTTTTTTTTCATTTTATAGAAACACCTGGTCGCTTGAAGTATCCTTTTTCTTCGGTTTTTTTTTTTTTTTTTCTTCCACGGAGGTCTGAACAACATCGACTCGCTGTACTAACTCGGATCGACGAAGATAAGAAAGATCTCTGTAACGAACGTCAAACTGGAGGTTTCCAGAGCTTAAATAAAAAAAAAAACAATGAGAGAAAGATCGAAGATGCAAGAGCATGAGTAGTTGGCTCGTCGTTTAGGATTAAAAGAAAAGGTGTTTGAGAGACCGAAAGGAATCACGTCGCCGATTACGAAAACCAACGATATTTTTCTACCAACGATTAATAATTGCTCCTCTTATTAAATTTCTCCTTTTAAATACCAAATATTTAACTGTATTCTACGTGCATACATACGTGTGAGCCTATAGCTAATTAATCTAGCAATCGGTCGCTTACTGATATTGCTTCTGATATTGTTTACTATGGGCCAATATCGACGAGAGATAACCGACACGGAATTTCACGTCATCTTTTAATCAAACATCTAGGTCCTCGAGGTCGGAGATCGAAGGACTCGCTTGATTCTCTTGAACCTAGCCAACTCCATTCCAGGATCTCCGTTCAAACCGCCGAAAGCTTCCCCGTACTCTGTCGCCAGTGGTCCCAGCACCGCTTTTTCGTCCTCGCCCGACTGTCGGTCGAAAAAACCTTTTTTTAACTTAATTATTCTCTTCTTATAATTACGATTAACTCTCTTTTGAACCTCTCGCGCTGGAATGACGCACCACAGACGGCGAGAATTTTTTGTTCACAAAATTGCAATATTTTTCTCAGTGTTGAGTATATTTAAGTGAAACAGAATTGGCAGAAACAAATAACAAATTTATTACTTCTCAATAATTTCTATCCAGTGATGTCGTACCGACGAGTTCAAAAAGAAAGCGACGAATTGTATACGGTTTAGGTCACTCGTTATGGTCCGCAATTATTTGCCAACGCGAGTTAACCTCGCTTTTTGTTCCAAAATTGTAATATTTCCTCAGTTTTAAATATATTTAAGTAAAAACAAATAATAAGTTTATTACTTCTCAATAATTTCTATCCAGTGATGTCGTGCCGACGAGTTCAAAAAGAAAGCGACGAATTGTATACGGTTTAGGTCACTCGTTATGGTCCGCAATTATTTGCCAATCTCACTTTTTGTTCCAAAATTGTAATATTTTCTTTCAGTTTTAAAAATATTTAAGTAAAACAACTAATAAATTTATTACTTCTCAATAATTTTTATCCAGTGATGTCGTACTGACGAGTTCAAAAAGAAAGCGACGAATTGTATACGGTTTAGGTCACTCGTTATGGTCCGCAATTATTTGCCAACGCGAGTTAACCTCACTTTTTGTTCCAAAATTGTAATATTTCCTCAGTTTTAAATATATTTAAGTAAAACAAATAATAAATTTATTGCTTCTCAATAATTTTTATCCAGTGATGTCGTACCGACGAGTTTAAACAGAAAGCGACGAATTGTTGTGCACGGTATGGGTCACTCGTTATGGTCCGCAATAATTTGCCAACCTCACTTTTTGTTCCAAAATTGTAATATTTTCTCAGTTTTAAATATATTTAAGTAAAACAAATAATAAGTTTATTACTTCTCAATAATTTTTATCCAGTGATGTCGTACCGACGAGTTCAAAAAGAAAGCGACAAATTGTTGTGTACGATTTGGGTCACTCGTTATGGTCCGCAATCAGTTGCCAGCGCAACGTGGTTAATTCGTGGTTAACTAACGCTAACCTGCTAACCGTGAAGACGAGCCTAGATAGACCTCGTCGCCTCGATGATAATCTCTTTATCTCAAAAATATGGCGATAAAACGACGAAGGTTTCAAGGGACAACCCGGCCGGCAGGTTAATCGTAAATTAATTCTCATGGTTTCACCTTATCAGCGCCGAGTGCCTCGCTCAGCTTCGAATCCAACGAAAGATCAGCTGGCAGACTGTCTTCCAACTTCCTTCCTTCGGAGTTCCTCGATCTTCTTCGTCTCCTCTTCTTCTTCCTATCGGTCGTCACCAGAAACGCCTGTCGCGCGCGTTTCCTCGGTACCTCGTCTGCTGCTCGCGACTCCGACTTCGTCGTCGATCGTTTCCTCATCGAGGTCGAGATTTCCGACTCTCGAACCGTGTTGTCGTGCCTCTTGCTCCTTTTTGTCGATCGCTTCGCGGCGTTGTCGCGAGCCTGCGACTTGTCGGCACTCTTGGACGCGTCCTGGCCAACCAGCGACGCCTCATGCTCGTCGTCTTCCTTCTCCAATTCGCGCAACTCGTCGAACCTCGCGTTATTCTCCTCGATCTCTCTTAGACGCTGGCTCTCCTCGATCTCACGTTTGATCTGCTCCTTGATCGAGTCGATCTTCCGCTGAATCTGCTCTTCCACTCGTTTCTGATAGTCCTCGTCCGCGTTCCTCGAGTTCTCCGCTTCGACAACTTTCGACTTCCTGGGGATTCCCTCGAGAATCGTCGAGGGATCGAGCATCAAATCGTTGAGCGCTTTGCCGGATAAATCGGTTTCCTGCGTTCTCACGTCCGTTACGATCTCTGAACGCGGGCCCTGAATTTTCACAGTCTCGCCAATCGGTTTCGAATCGAACTGCTGCCTCGAGCAGTTCTCGCTCTTCTCGACGGCGTCTCTCTTCTTCGACTGATCGTTAGAATCCTTGCCTGATGCCTCGGCTGCTTTGTTGCCGTTGTCGGATCTTTTTCGATCGCTGGACGAGTCGCCAGAGGCCCCGGGATCTTCCGATTTTTCCTCTGACTCTCCCTTCGAATTCTCGTGTTCTCTCTTCACTCGAACATCACCGTGCACCTTTCTCCTTTGAGTTTCTTCCTCCTGGCTCAACGAATTTCCTTCCAGAGCTGCGGTGTCTTCCGCAGCTCCGGCAGCGTCGTCCTCCACCTCTTCGTAGTCTTCAGCACCGGAGATTCCTCTCTTCACTACGTCCTTCGACTCGAGGTCGTCGTACAGGTTCGATCTTTCCTCCTCGTCGATGAATGCCGCGGAATCCTCGCTCGCGCGGAGATCGTTGCCCTTGTATCTTGGTGAGTATAGTTGTATTGATTAAACATTGATTTTAAAAGGCAAACGTTGAAATTTTAATTGTAAAATGTAACAATGTTATTTTAAGAGATTTTGTAATCTGCTCTGTTTGCCAGACGCCGCTGGTGCTACAATCGATTAACGACGATACGTTTAACCTTTTTAATTTGCCAAAAATGCGAGATATCCACATTGTTAACTCGTTATGCCCACAGTAAATCCGAGACGATAAAATAAAATTGCAATTTACGCGATTATTAAACGACAGAGATCTCAAAGCACACTTGAAGTTTATATAAAGCAATTATTTTAAATAAAAATTTCACTTTCGTTCGACTATGCGATGCTCATAATTTAATTTTAGTCAAATTCGACGTATTAATTAACAATTGATTATTGGTTAATTCTGTTCATCGATTGATCGACTTTTCGATTAATTTGGTTTAATTAGTGATCGATGATTAATTTCATTTATCGATTAGAGCCGATTTTTCGTCGATCGATGCAGAAACGTTAACCCTTCTCAGTCGAAGAGAATGCTCGTTTTCAGTGCAATAAAAAAAAATTTGTTGACCTTGAGACTCAATTTTTACATAAAAATTGTTGACGTGCATCTCCATCCAAAATTAAAAGTGCAAAACTCATCTATGACAGCCACGGACAAACTTTTCTTTCCACCCTCTATATACAAATTTATTCAAAAATAAATAACAAAAGAAATATAAAAGAAACCTGACAAATAAATAAATAAATAAAAAAACTCGCACGTGTTATAATGTTCATTAAATCAAACAAGCCCAAGGGTTCCTGAATGCCAGCTCAAACTAAACTCAAATTAAAAATTTTAATCAACTGTACTGCACGCGCGCGCGCAAGAACCTGGTCTTTTTGTTCCTCGAAGAGGAATCGTCCTCAGCTTCGTCCGTGTACTCTGATTTCTCCCGATCAACAGAGACCCCGTAATCTTTGTCTGGCAGCTTCGGAAGATCCTTGGAGGAGCGACCGATTCTTGAAGAGTGGCTTTTGCCTTCATCTCTGTCAGAAACCGAGCGTTTCTCGTTCCTCGTAGCTTCTTCTCGTTGGTTCGAGCTTCTCGGATTGCTGGATCGTCTTTTGACCGCACTGTCGCGTTTCATCCTTACCCGTTTGTCACCGTCTTCGTGCTTTTCACTCCGGACGTTGCGTTTGAAATTAGTTACGTCGTCTCTCTGTTCGCTGGATCCTCGAAAGATTCGCTCGATCGACGGATCCAGCTTGCCGTTTCGGTTCTCGATCACGTGACCGTTCGCCACCGCGTTGCTGGTGTAGTTAGATCGAGATTCAACGAATGAAATAAATATTAATTAGGTGATTCTATAACTTAAAGTGTTATATATTATAATGCAATATTTAATAAATATATATTATGTATTAAAATATTATGAATTAAATTATTATGATATAATATTTAATAAATGTGTTATACAATATATAATAAATATTATATATTGTATATTAAGATATCATAAATTAAATTATTATAATATAATGTAATATTTAATAAATATGTTATAATGTAATATAATATTTAATAAATATGTTATACAATATATAATGAATATTATATATTATATATAATAAAATATAAATTAAATTATAATATATATTATAACATAATATTTATTAATAAAATATTATAAACATTATTTTTATACTTAAAATATTAAATACTGAATCATAGATTCTAATAGATGGTTAATTATCTATCTAAAATATTAATTAAACTGTAAATTCTTTCATTTTTATTAAATAATTCTGCCGTGTAAAGTTCCGCGAATAGACAAAAAATTGCGGACCGATGAAGAAGAAGGATGTGCAAAGTATCACAGGCCATGTACCTGGGTGTGTTTTTGACAAACTCCGGACAGCAGCGAGGAACGAACAATTGGAGGAGTATCGATAGGACGAAAACGTTGGCGCAGTTTCGCTGGTATGGCCGGGTCATGGTGTTGCGAAAGGTGCATCGTAGTAGTAGATTTCTACGAGTAATCGGACGTACGAGCTACTTTCATATTTTTACTGATTTGAGTGAGATATATTGGACGACGTTGGCGCTGCGTGAATGTGGAGCAACGTTGGATCGAGTTGGATCGAGAGGCTGCTTGATTTTGTTACGATCGACGTTGCCACGTAGTCATGGTAATATACAGGGCGATCCAAAACTCACGTCCTGCTAGAATGAATCCGTAGGTTTTCTTATTATATATTTAGTTCAACATTTGAGAGAAATGATTTTTAAAACATATGTTGAACTTAAATCTAATTTAAAATTAACAAAAATTATATCTCTTGACGTTTTATTGAAAAAAAAAAAAAAAGAAATAGGTGGGAAGAAAATAATACAAGTAATATAAAAAATTTTTCTCTGCAGTTGTATCTTGTATTTAGACAGAGTATAAAATATTCTATTCATATTCTATTATCTTCTATGATCTTTTTTCTCTATTCTCTATTATTTTTAATAATAAGTTATACAAAAATAACACAAGAAACTGCAAAAAGTGTCGTCGCGCGAATTTTTATATCTCTTGTTATTGTTATTTGTATTGTAAAATTTATTATTTGGAAATTGCACACGTTACATTTCGTATGTGTATGGTGAGCTATTTGCATAAACAAATTTTGTTGACACATCAATTGTTCGCACCAATTTTAAGTGTTCTTTATTCTTTGACTGTATATTCACACGTTCATATTCAAAGTGGCGAAAGCAGGGTTTAGCGAAAAATGTAAATTACGATACAGAAAATAATTTCTTTATTACGAATTAGACACAACGACACACGCGTATGTACATAAAAACTATGTTCACCGGATACAAATATTTTTATAGAAACATTGCTCTCTAGCCTCGACGAATGATGCCTTGGTGAATTGGATCACGCACGTATGTATCAGGGGTGCTCATATAGTAACGTCGTTTCTTTCAAATTCAATAGACTGCCATCTAGCGACGATAATTCAACTTACTGTAACATAACCTATTACACCTAGGTGTAACATAACCTATATACCTGTTAAATACATAACTGACATTTAATGTGTTTATTATTAACTTATATTGTTGATTAAAACTGTATCAAAACTGTTGAATGAAATAGAAATTTTCGCATCAAAATTTCGGTATCAAAAAACGTTGCTTACGAGTGTCCCTAATAATTATAGTGCGCGTCAACGTGCGATCAGTGCCACCGTGACCTTGCTTGCTTCTGTAAGTATCACGACAGACAAAATTCTTCCACTCGACGATATGTAAATCTAAGCATACATACTCGAGTTTTTCTTTTTTTTTCTTCTTCTTCTTTTTTTTGTCCTTCGAAATAAGATTAGTAACGAAACAGTTGAAATCTAATGTAAAGTTCCACGTCTCGTAATCTATCTGTCTAACAAGACGTGACGAAGAGCACACTGGGGAAACACGTGAGACAAGTTGTTTTCTTGATTTCTTATTATTCTTTCCCCGTGCTCTTCGAATAAAATAAAAAACGATACTCAAGTCCATGGAGCACCGGTTGTTCACATTTCTCGCGAACAGCTCTTGGTCTTTTTTTCTGGCGAAAGGAAAATCCTGTTTCTCGTGGCTCGAGTGCAGTAACGAGTGTGATACTACCTACGCGTTTAACCTACGTCTATCAGGCGATCTATTATCACTTAATTTTAAAAAGCAAAGGAATCGGAACCATCGTTTGAATTGAACACTGGCGAAAGGGAAGTCGAGAAGCAAACAACAACTCACAGGCGATGCGGCTCTCGAGGAGGGAAAATGCAAAACCAGGAAGTAATCGCAAAAATCGTTTTTATTCAATCGAGAACACATGATGTAAACGAATCGAAGTGAAAAGATAAGGAAACGGGAAACAATAGAGAGATAAAGAAAAAGACAGAGGTCGAATAATAGATGATAAGCTAATGATAGATAATGATAAGATAATAATAAAAATATATAATTTGTTCCGTAATGGGAACGAGCCGGAAATAATGCTACGACTCGTTTGTTTCGAACTTAATGTAAATCGCGGGGGTGCAAAGAACAAGAGGAGTGACGCGGTTGATCAGTGGATTGTGGATGTTTATGCGGACTTACACACACTTTTATGAAGATAATTTTCGTCGAAGGCATTAAAATAAAAATAAAAAAATAGGAGAGCTTTATAACACAACACAGTACCGAAGTACTATACGCAAAGTACCAGAAGCTTTTATTTATGCATTTTAATTTCTAAAAACACACGGTTCCGCATCCGTAGAATTTCTAACAAAAATCATAAATTTGGCAATTCTGATGTTAAACAAGAAATTTGAGCAAAATCAATTGACATAGTTGATATAGTTCATTTACAAATTTCGATTCAATGGCTGCAGTCGGCAACTACAATTTGCTGCAATCTTCGGATAAACATCCACAGTGCGTTCGTGTCAGCAAGATAGACAAATTAGAAGAATAAAAACTGAAGCTGAGAATCGAGAAGGGGCGACTTGCTACGCCGCCATTTTACTCTAAGTATCGGTCGAACCTGATCGCCTCGGCTCAGATTTCGGCCGTATCACGGATTTAAGCTCTAGTTATTGCTTTGTAATACACGTGGCTTAAGAGTGAAAACAAATCTTAACTCGATTTCTCGTCTGCATATTTCTCCCGCTCTTTAACGTTCGCTCTTCTCGTTATATCCTACTCGAGGATAAAAAATATATTGACGTCGTTACGGATATATGCATACGTGTGGGTAGGTATATTTATATAATGTGTATGTATATGTTTATACGCATACAAGTGTACTTTTATACATGTATGTATATGTGGTTCACACAGTCCCGTATCTCGTTATCCTTTTCGTCCCGACGAAACGAACACCCAGAGAGATTCTCCTAGGTGAAATAAATATCGAACGACACGAGTTCATCACAGCCCGCAATTTAGCTTAGACCTAATTTCGTTCGAGACGTCGTCCAACGAACTTTCGTGCTCGGTTCAGGATATAGACCTTAAAATTGATCAAGAATTTCTCGGAGTTACGCGTTTCCTTAATTACGTGTCCATATTTCTGCGTTACGTATCTACACTCTGCACTTTGTATTTTTATTCATCTTTCTCGAAATTCTAAATTAAGTCCAAATCTTCGACACCAACAGTGTACACTGTATCCAAAAGAGATTTTCCGCAGAATTTTTCTCGAAATTCTCAGATTAATAAATCCAAATCTTTGACGTAATTTAAACAGCGTACACTGTGTCCAAAAGAAAGCGCAAAATTTGTCGAAATTCTTAAATTAACGATTCCAAATCTTCGACCAATAGTTCATTGTATTTAAAGGAAAGCACAAAATTTCTGTGCTATGATTAACATAGTGTACTATAATTAACATAGTGTACTATAATTAATATAGTATACTATAATTAATATAGTGTACTATATCCAAAAGAAAGCGCAAAATTTATCGAAATTCTTAAATTAACGATTCCAAATCTTCGACCAATAGTTCACTGTATCCAAAAGAAAACGAAAAATTTCTGTGCTATAATTAACATAGTGTACTATAATTAATATAGTGTACTATGTTCAAAAGAGAGCGCAAAATTTATCGCAATTCTTAAATTAACGATTCCAAATCTTCGACCAATAATTTACTCTATTCAAAAGAAAGCGAAAAATTTCTGTACTAAAAATTAACATAGTGTACTATAATCAATGTAGTGTACTATATCCAAAAGAAAGCGCAAAGTTTGTCGAAATTCTTAAATTAACAATTCCAAATCTTCGACCAATAATTCACTCTATTCAAAAGAAAGCGAAAAATTTCTGTACTAAAAATTAACATAGTGTACTATAATTAATGTAGTGTACTATATCCAAAAGAAAGCGAAAGTTTCTGTACTATAATTGTGTACTATATCCAAAAGAAAGCGCAAAGTTTCTCGTCTCAAATTGACAAAACCAAAATCTCCGACCAGTAGCGTATTATATTCAAAAGAAGGCACAAAATTTCCTCCTTGAACTTACGATTCCAAATCTCCGACCAGCAGCATACACACATTACAAACAAAAGAAAAAGAAAAAAGAAATGTATTTTAAAGAAACCTCGCGAAAAGAAACGAAAAGAAACGTGAGTAAATATCTCGGGTAGTAGTTCCCTGTCCTCCATATTCCTAACCTCGACGCCGAAAGGGGAATAACTCGCATCAATTAGAAACGACGGGCATATAGAACTTGTGCTTGGGCGTGTCTCTGGTGTGCTTGAAAGGGGCTTGTTTCGCCTCGATGAGCGCCGCGGGACAAGGTCCCCTGTGCTTAGGCGCGTACTCCTTCTTGTACATGCTCGATGTGACGGTGCTTCCGTCGCCTAAGCTGATGTGCGACACGTTCGCCTGTCTCTGAACTCTCTCCACCCTCTGGCTGGCAAAGTTGCCATAGTTCTTCGCCTCGCTGTGCGAGTAGAACTTGCCGCCGACCGTCAGATTGTCATGCCGGACGATTCTCTGGGGGCGTTCGTAGGTCGACGATGCCCAAGGATTCCCACCCTCTTTGGCGCTGCGGTGCAGAGAGGTGAGGCTGCGCCGGTCGCTGCTCTGGCTCGAGTTGCTGATGTACTGGCCACTCTCCGCCAGATTCGAGATGCTCTTCTTCTGATCGGCGGCGGTGGATGAAATCGTGTGGAGCGCCTCCGTGGACGAGGTGGTTCTGCGTCTGTGGAGAACCGAGTTGGCAACGTCCGCCGACGACGACGAGATCACGTTCTTTCTGTGGTGGCTGGTTTTCGTCGGAGCAGCGTCGTGCACGTGCAACTTCTCCGTCGATTGTCCGGTGATCGCTTGCCTGAACTCGGCGCTGCTCGTCTGGCTGGAATTGTAGCGAGCTTGGCTGGATACGGTGCGCTCCTCGTGGTGATGCTGCTTGTGTCTCTGGGTCGCGCTCTGCCGAGACTCGATGTGCTGAGTGTTCACGTAGTCCCTTCTGCTCGTTTCCTGCTGGTGCTTTTCAATCTGCCGCGTTTGAGTCACGTTCTGCGATCTCGAGTGCCTCTCGCTCGAACGCGCCCTTTGTTGATGCTCGCTCGTTACGTACTGCTGATTCAAAGTGGTCAACGACTTTCCAGAGTCCGGCTGGTACTCCGTTGTCGCGCGCTGAACATTCTGAGCCGACGAGATCCTCTCCCCGGTCGTTTTCCTCGCGCTCGTGATCGTCGTCCCGTTCTCCAACGTCCTCGACTCGCCTCTTCTAGTCTCCGTCTCCATGCTGCTCATCTTGGCGGCCACCTCCTTGGCAGTGCGTTTGGTGAAGGTGTTGTAGTTCCTCTGAGTAGTCGTGGACATGGTAGAAACGTCGTCGCCCAACGTGATCGAGGACTCCATGTGGCGTCGGCGATTCACGGCTCTGCCAGTCGGTGAGTCTTCCTTCCTGGTCGGCGTGAACGTGTCTCTGGACGTCGTCTTCGTTTCCATGACGTCGGCGCTCACTCTCAAGTTGTCCTCGTGGCGCTTCGTCTCCGCCCGTTCCCCGCGCACCACCGTGTACGTGGATCTCTGCGAGGTGGCGTCCTGAAACTCGCCGCTCATCCTCAGATTGTCCTCACGACGAACCACCTCCGCTCTTTCGCCTCTCTTCGGCGCGAAATCGTCGCGCGGTCTTCCAACGAAATCGCCCTCCGGTCTCAGATTGTCCACGTGGCGAATCGGTGATCTACGCTCCACGGGGCCGACCGGCTTCTCCGGCGTTCTACGCTCGAACTCACCCTCCGGTTTCAGATTGTCCGGGTGTTTAATGGGCGAGCGTCTCTCGCCTGGTCCCAGAGAAGACATCCACGGCTTCTCGAACTCCCCCTCGGGACGAAGGTTGTCAGGATGCTTCTTGACGGGCGCGCGTTCGCCAACCACGCGCACGTAGTCGTCCTTCCTGCGCACGTCGATAAACTCCCCTTCGATCTTCAGATTGTCCTCGTGCCTGCGAACGCTCGCTCTCTCCACTTTCGTGATCTTCTGGTAATCGTCTCTGGACCTACGAACGTTCATCTCCCCCTCCATTCGCAGGTGATCCTCGTGTCGACGCACCTCCGCTCGTTCTCCGTTCACGTGCCTGTAATCGTCCTTGGACGACGGACTGACCTCCATCTCGCCCTCTGGCCTCAGATTATCCTGAGGCTTCCTCACCGGCGCTCGCTCGCCCCTCTTCGGCGTGAAATCGTCCTTCGGCACCACGTGCAAGTCGCCCTCGAGGTGGAGGTTGTCCTCGTGGCGAATCGGAGCGCGCCTCTCAGCCGGGCCGACCTTCTGAGGCGTTCGCTTGGCGAACTCGCCCTCGGGGTGCAGGTTATCCTTCGGCTTCCTCACGTCGGCTCGTTCGCCTTTAGTGGGCGCGTCTTGCCTCGGTCTTCCGGCGAATTCTCCTTCAGGATGCAGGTTGTCGGGATGTTTGATCGGCGTTCGTCTCTCCGCGGGGCCAACGGCCGACTTCTCCGGCCTCTCGAAGTCTCCTTCCGGCTTCAGGTTGTCTCGCGGCTTCTTAACCGGCGCTCTCTCGCCCTTGGTCGGCGCAGGAAGTTTCGGACGCTGAGCGAACTGGCCCTCGGGCTTCAGGTTGTCCGGATGTTTGATCGGTGATCTTCTCTCCGCCGGGCCAACGGGCGAAGTCTCCGGTCTTTCAAACTCTCCCTCCGGTCTCAGATTGTCCTCGTGCCTGACAATCTCGCTGCGCTCGCCGCGCGTCACGGTGTAGTCGTCTCGTCTTCGAACGTCGACGAACTCGCCCTCCATCCGTAGGTTGTCCTCACGGCGAACCACGTCCGCCCTTTCGATCTTGACGATCGTCTTGTAATCGTCTCTCGAACGACGCACGTCCATGTCGCCCTCCATTCTCAGGTTATCTCTGTGCACAACTATCTCCGTTCTCTCGCCCCTCGTCGGCTTGTAATCGTCCTTCGGCCTTCCGACGAACTCTCCTTCCGGCTTCAAGTTGTCGGGGTGCTTGATGGGAGTCCTCTTCTCGGCAGGTATCACCGGAGACCTCTCCGGCTTGGTGAACTCACCCTCCGGATACAAATTGCCCTGCGGCCTCTTAACGTCGGCTCGTTCCCCGCGTTTGGGCGCTTCCTCCTTCGGCCTTCCGACAAAGTCACCTTCAGGCTTCAAGTTGTCCGGATGCTTGATCGGTGTTCTCTTCTCGGCGGGGCCAAACGATTTCTTCTCCGGTCTCTCGAACGTGCCCTCTTGCTTCAGATTGTCCTTCGGCTTCTTCACGTCGGCTCTCTCGCCCCTGGTTGGCGCCTGCTCCTTCGGACGGCCGACAAACTCGCCCTCGGGCTTCAGATTGTCGTCGTGCTTTATCGGCGAACGTCTCTCCGCCGGGCCGACGGGTCTCTTCTCCGGCCTCTCGAACTCTCCCTCGGGTCTCAGGTTGTCCTCTGGTCTCCTCATCTCGGGCCTCTCCGCCTTCTTCGGCGAGTAGTCGTCCTTCGGCCGGGCCTCGAACGGACCCTCCGGCCTCAGATTGTCCGGATGTTTCACCACGTCCACGCGCTCCCCCCTCACCACCTTGAAGTCGTCACGCGTTCGGACATCGGTGAACTCGCCCTCCATGCGCAGGTTGTCCTCGTACCTCGTCACCTCGGCTCTCTCGCGGATCAAAAACTCCGCGTACTCGTCCCGCGATCTGTAAGTCTCCATGCTCCCCTCCATTCGCAGATTGTCGCTGCGTTTCACCACGTCCGCCCGTTCGCCGCGGACAACGACGAAATCGTCCTTGGGACGGCCCTCGAACGGTCCCTCGGGCTTCAGATTGTCCTCGGGTCTCCTCACGTCGGCGCGTTCGCCCCTCGTCGGCTTGTAATCGTCCTTCGGCCTTCCGACGAACTCTCCTTCCGGCTTCAAGTTGTCGGGGTGCTTGATGGGAGTCCTCTTCTCGGCAGGTATCACCGGAGACCTCTCCGGCTTGGTGAACTCACCCTCCGGATACAAATTGTCCTGCGGCCTCTTAACGTCGGCTCGTTCCCCGCGTTTGGGCGCTTCCTCCTTCGGCCTTCCGACAAAGTCACCTTCAGGCTTCAAGTTGTCCGGATGTTTGATCGGTGTTCTCTTCTCGGCGGGGCCCAACGGTTTCTTCTCCGGTCTCTCGAAAGCGCCCTCCGGCCTCAGATTGTCCTCCGGCCTCTTCACGTCGGCTCTCACCCCTCTCGTCGGCGCCTCCTCTCTCGGCCTTCCGACGAACTCTCCCTCGGGTCTCAGATTGTCCAAAGGTCTCTTGGCCACTGGTCTCTCGGCAGGCTTGAATTCCTCGGGCTGCGGCCGCTCGAAGTCACCCTCCGTGCGAAGATTATCCGGGTGTTTGATCGGCGTCCTCCTCTCGGCCGGGCCAACCGGTCTCTTCTCCGGAACCTCGAACTCTCCTTCCAGATACAAATTGTCTCTCGGCCTGCTCACGTCCGCTCTCTCGCCCTTTCGCGGCGCTTCCTCTTTCGGCCGACCGAAGAAGTCACCCTCCGGCTTCAAATTGTCCACAGGTTTCTTGACGATCGGCCTCTCGGCGGGCTTGAACTCGCCCGGTACCGGCCTCTCGAATTCTCCCTCTGGCTTCAAGTTGTCCGCGTGTCTGATTGGGCTCCTCCTCTCGCCGGGGCCGACTGGTATCTTCTCCGGCCTCTCGAACTCACCTTCCGGCTGCAGATTGTCCTTCGGTCTCTTTACTTCCGGCCTTTCTGCTCTCTTGGGAGAGTAGTCGTCCTTCGGTCGACCTTCGAACGGCCCCTCCGGCCGCAGGTTATCCGGATGCCTCACCACGTCCACCCTCTCGCCTCTCACCACTTTGAAATCGTCCCTCGTACGAGCGTCGACGAACTCCCCCTCCATCCGCAAATTGTCCTCGTACCTCGTCACGTCTGCTCTCTCGCGAATCAGGAACTCCGTGTATTCGTCGCGCGACCTGTAAGTCTCGATGTTGCCTTCCATTCGAAGGTTGTCGGCGCGTCTGACAACGTCCGCACGCTCGCCGCGAACGAACGGCTGGTAATCGTCCTTGGGACGGCCTTCGAACGGTCCCTCCGGTCTCAGATTGTCCTCGGGCTTCTTGACGACCGCTCTGTCGCCTTTGCCAGGCGTGAAATCGTCCTTGGGCCTGATGACGAGCTCACCCTCGGATCTGAGGTTGTCCGGATGTTTGATCGGTGTACGTCTCTCTGCCGGGCCAACCGCGGCCTTTTCCGGTACGTCGAATTCACCCTCTGGATACAGATTGTCCTGCGGCCTTCGAATCTCGGGACGTTCGGCGATCTTTGGTAAGAAATCGTCCTTTGGACGTCCCTCGAACGGTCCCTCTGGTCTCAGATTGTCTTCAGGTTTCTTTACATCGGCTCTGTCACCTCTGGTCGGTTTATAATCGTCCTTGGGACGTCCTTCGAACGGTCCTTCCGGTCTCAAATTATCTTGAGGCTTCCTCACTTCTGGTCTCTCCGCTGTTTTCGGTAAGAAATCGTCCTTTGGACGTCCCTCGAACGGTCCCTCTGGTCTCAGATTGTCTTCAGGCCTCTTCACATCGGCTCTTTCTCCTCTGGTTGGTGTGTAATCATCTTTAGGACGACCTTCGAACGGCCCTTCCGGTCTCAGATTATCCTGAGGTCTCTTCACTTCCGGACGTTCAGCGATCTTCGGTAAGAAATCGTCCTTTGGACGTCCCTCGAACGGTCCCTCTGGTCTCAGATTGTCTTCAGGTTTCTTTACATCGGCTCTGTCACCTCTAGTCGGTTTATAATCGTCCTTGGGACGTCCTTCGAACGGTCCTTCCGGTCTCAAATTATCTTGAGGCTTCCTCACTTCTGGTCTCTCCGCTGTTTTCGGTAAGAAATCGTCCTTTGGACGTCC